CTAGATTTCTCAAGATCACGAATACGTGAACTGTTCTTAAAAAAACCCTAGATTTCTTGAAAAATCGAGCACCAAAACTAGCTTAATAACGAAATTAAACTCCACAACCTTCTAAACGTCAATATTTTCTTCAAAACCCCTCTGTTTTTAATCAAAATCATTGACAATGTCGTTGGAAATCCAAAGAATGGCGGAGAACCGAGAAACAGTGGTCGGAATTCGATTTCTTCATAAATCGACAAATAAAACTTGATTAATCATGTGAAAAAGCTCTACAATCATCTGAAGAATGTAATTTTCTTCAAAACCACTCAATTTAGATAAAAAAATGAACTTAATTTCTTGGGAAACCAATAGAATGGTGGAAATAGGGTTTGCCGTGATTGCATCTCTGATTTTCATGATTCAATCAGCTGAAATTGATTGTTTTATAGACTTAAAACAAATAATGGATGCCAATAATTCAACAAAAAGCTGCAATGCATCAATACTTTAATTAAAACGTTGAATCCCGTGCCAATAAAGTTGAATAAGTTGTTCATCCTTTTGGAATCGGTGAAGAATTGCCGGACTCAGTTTTAGAATCATCGGATTCGGCGAGTTATCGCTACGAAACGCCGTTTTGCTTCTATAAACGCCCTTCTTCTTTTAGCAAGAGTCGGCACGAGATGATCGATTCTCGGGTCGACTCCAATGATTCCGTGCCGACCTGTCGATTTTTTAAACCCTATATTATGTTATGTTCTATATTCTATATTTATATTTATTTTATTAATATAATTTATATTATATAATATATATAACATTAGATAATATATTTATAATATAATTCATAATATTAGTAATATTAATATGATATAATATAATACAATACAATATTGTATTTATATTTTATAATATTCTAATTTTATTTTATTAATATAATTTGTATTATATAGTATATATAACATTAGTTAATATATATATAATATATTCATAATATTAGTATTATTAATAAAATATAATATAATATATAAGAACATAATAATATAAATATAAATATATTATTTATATTTTAGAATATTATAAAATATAAATATAATATTTTATAAATATAATATTGTATTATCTTATAGTATATCATATTACATTATATTATATTATATTATATTATATTATGTTATAATATATTATATTATGTTACATTATGTTATGTTATATTATATTATATTATATATTATATAGAATGTACATTATGTTATATTATATTATATTATATGATATATAATATACATTATATTATATTTAATATATCACGTATATTTACTATATCATCTATAATATATAAAGGAAAAGAGTTCATATAAGGTTGGAACCTTAAAATGCACAATTTAGATCTAGTTGATTTTAACCATCTTTTGAGTTTAAAATTATATAATTAGGTATAAAAATAGATTTTCAGATAATCGTAAGAAGTTTTTACATAAATTATATGTTATAATAAAATTTGGAGGTAAGCCTTAATCCTTTATTGGACGGTTTAAAGTTACAACCTTATAGAAACCACACCATATATAAATATCTTATATTATATTATAAGCCTTAATCCTTAATTGGATTGTTTAAGGTTGCAACCTTATAGAAACCACACCATATATAAATATCTTATATTATATTATATATTATATATTTATATTTATATTTATATTTATATTAATATTATATGAATATATATTATATTTGTATATTTATATATTTATATATTTATATTTATATTATTTATATATATATATTAGGTTTAAAAAATCAGCGAGTCGGCACGGAAGCTCTCGGGTTGACTCGGGAATTGGTCGTCCCGTGCCAATTCTTGCTAAAAACATAAAACCGGGCGTTTTTAAAAGCAAATCGATGTTTTGTAGTGATAACTCGCCAAAAGGATGAACAATTTATTCAACTTTATTGTCACGGAATTCAACTTTTTAGTTAACTTATTGATGCACTGCAGCTTTTTTGTTGAATTATTAGCATCCATTATTGGTTTTAGGTCTATAAAACAATCAAAATCAAAGGACTGAATCACGAAAATAGGGTTTTAATCACGACAAACCCTATTTTCGCCATTCTATCGATTTCTCGAGAAATTGAGTTCAAGTTTTTTTCAAAATTGAGGGGTTTTTAAGAAAATTACATTCTTCAGATGATTGTAGAGCTTTTTATGGTTTTCAACCATTTTTGGATTTTTGGCGACAACGTGATCGATTTTGATTAAAAACAGAGGGGTTTTGGAGGAAATATTGTCCTTCAGAAGGCCGTGTTGTTTAATTTTGTTATTAAGCTAGTTTTGGTGCTCGATTTTTCAAGAAGTCTAGGGTTTTTTGAAGAACAGTTCACGGAATTGTGATCTTGAGATATCTAGGGTTTTAGTCGATTCGGGCAAAATTATATTTGAAATTAGAGATGTTTTGTTTGAAATCGTTATTGAGAAATTATTTTAGCTTCCTTGCGTGATTAAGCAATAATAGTTGATCAATTTCTTAAGAAATCAAAGGTGCGACACCTTTTCCTTGAAGAACATTTCATGGTTATTTTAACTCGATTTAAGTCAAATACAAGTATACATTTTGATCCGTTATTCTCAATTCTCAAGCAGTATCATGATTTTACATTTGTTTTGTTTTAATGAATTTTTTTTTTGAAATGCTCTGTGGTATGAAATTCAATTTAGGGCTTTTGAGTAATTACTTGTAAATTAATTTCTAGATTCAAATTAGGAATTTTGACAAATATTTGTTCTCGATACAATATATAAAAATACATTTTTTTCGATATTATTTTTGCTAGTAGGAACTAATTCATGCTCGTCAAATCTATTTTTCAATAAGAAGTATTTTACATGAACAACAAAGATAACTTCATGAACTGTCAATATACATGGAGATTATTTTTCATGTTGAACTGTTAGGTTCATTTTTTACCATTTACATCTTAAAACAGTTGAACCATGTCACAATCCATGGAAGAACCCTGCATGACAACATGGGGTAGACATTATCAATATACATGGTGATTATTTTTCATGTTGAACTGTTAGGTTCATTTTTTACCATTTACATCTTAAAACAGTTGAACCATGGCACAATCTATGGAAGAACCCTGCATGACAACATGGGGTTAGACTTGATCCCAACAAAAAAGACAAATTGTTTGTAATTACTGCTAAAAAGTAATAAGCAGTAAGGTACATTGGTTCGACCAACACTTGACAGGGGTTAAGGGACATGTTTTTGCGGGCGCTAGTGTCCCTATCAAGGCTAACAAGGGTAGAAAAGTCTCAAAGAAGAGGATGAAGGAGGAGATAACTAGCTTATATATGCCACCTAGCGGGATGGATCCAGAAAATCAATATCATTATGATTTGGTGATTGCTACACGAATAAGCTTGCTGGAAACTTGCCTTCGAGAAAGCAGATTCGGAATGTCTAGTGGTTATGGCATAGGCATGCATGGCGAGCCTAGGTCGAGCATGCATGGCAGGATTAACTCGAGCATGCATGGCGGGCCCAGCTCGAGCATATATATAGGGCCTAGCTTGAACATGTACGGAGAGGTTGGTGGAAATACGTATTCAGAGGTACCTGATATTTAGGAAACTGCTCTTGGCTTATTTAAGAGCTCTAGTATTACAGGTCATGGCCATATGGACCCATTTCTCTCAAAGCCTAAGTCACAACAGATGACCCTCAAAGGCATGGTGAAAGGTATACGGAACTTGATAGGTAGATATATTGGTAAATGGTTTTATGATAAATGGATCCCCTTTGACGCAACCAGTAGCTCATATTTCTTGCGTATGATCAACACAATCTAAAAAACTGGGCCCAGAGAATAACTCCCGACAGCATATGAGCTCAGTAAGCTGATCTTGGATGAAGTTAGGAAGTGGATTGAAGAATATAAGCAGAGTTGACCAAGAACATGCATTACTCGCGTGAGTGATGGTTGGTGGAATAAAGTTAGCCAGAAGGAATATCTTAGCTTCTTGGCCAATTACGCAAAAGGTACAAGATTCTTGTCTAGCAAATGCATCTTCGGGATAAAGAAGGATGCAAAGTTCTTAGTACAAGTATATGATAAGATAGTGGAGGACGTGGGAGATAGGCATGTGGTCTAGTTTATTACGGACAATGCGAGGGTTGTGTTTTTATAGGCATGAACTTGATGGATAAGAGGAAGCATCTAGTATGAACCCCGTGTGCAGCACACAATATCGATCTTATGTTGGAGGAGATCGACGAGATCCCATTTGTGAAGAAGACTCTAGAGGCAGTGAGGTCCGTGAAAAAATTTATATATAACCATTCTAAAGTCTTAATTTTTTTCAGACTAGAATCTAAGAAAAAAGAGATAATCAGGCTTGCCATAACCCACTTTGCGATAGATTACTTGGCTGTGGACTCCATTATGGAATCCCAAGCTGCATTGAAGAGGTTGTTTACCAGCAGAAGAATGGTCAAACGATTGCCTCTCGAAGTCAAGAAACAGGCTAAAAGTGGAGGGCATAGTCATAAATAGGAGGGTTCTGGTCTCGTTGTTCCAATGTCGTAGAGGCCACTGCTCCTTCGGTCATAGTGTTAAGAATGGTGGATATCGATAAGAATGCTACCAAGGGCATCCTTTATGAAGGGATTGAGAGGGCCAAATATGCTATTGAAGAAAATTATAGTTTTGTTACTAAAGTCATCGAGATTATAATTAGAAGGTGGGACACCAAATTGGGCTGCCCAATTCACTATGCAGGTACGCATACATTTATATCTTTAAAATGTTTAATTCCAAAATATTTTTTAATGTGCATTTGAATGACCTTTAGCCATCTATGTATTTTTAGGTTTCTACTTCAACTCAAATTTTTTTGATTTAACACCTGAACATCCCAACAAGATTATGGAAGGGTCAGATACATTATTAACTGGCTGGAGACAAGGTATCGAAACCAAGTAGCGGCAGTATAGGAGGTAAGAGTTAATGTTTGGGTAAGAACTTCATTGAATTGTTTTATTTGTAAGGAATAACTAATGCACTAAAACAAAATATTTTTTTTTAGCTTTCTATGTATAGGGATGCTATAAGATCATTCAGAACTAGATTTGTATTGAAGTCACGAACTAAGATGGATCCAGGTTAACCTTTAACTAATATGTTGTTCTTTCATATATTTGTTCTTATGAAATATTCTTGCCCTTACATTGCCTTTTGCATTTTAATCTAGCTGAATGGTGGGAGATACATGATAGTGATGCACCTTACCTAAGGAGGATAGCAATCAAGGTGCTCTCCCATACATGTTCTGCTATTGGGTGTAAGCGAAACTGGAGTACATTCCATTGGTTGCACACCGTTAAGAGGAATCAACTCGCTTCGGAGATGCTTCATAAGCTAGTCGACGTTCATTACAACTTGAACCTCGAGAGCGACAAATAAGAAGGAAGCTTGAAGACTACAGCCCAGATAGACTTAGATGCAATATTTGTTCCAGACACAACAAAACAATGGGTAGTGGAAGGAGTCAGTGTTGCGCAAAAGAGCATTCCTTGAGACTATCAGTGTGGTAAATGATGAAGATTGTGTGATGAGCAGCATAAAAGAGGAAGCAGCCCGCCAACATATCCACAATTCGTCAAAGATGTCGGTGGTGTTGCACTTAATGAGGGAGAGTGGGAAGGGGGTAGAAGGAAAAATAAGAGAGATGATGATTTTGATACCACCCTATCCCGACAAAATTATTCACATGTCGAGTTCTCAACAACAAGAGGGTAGAGGTGAGCATGACAGTGTAGGTGAGCGTGAAGGATGGACAAGCTTCGGGGATTTTGAATTAGGAGCGCAACAAAATACTAACACTCAGGGATCTGGGTAAAGAGTTAGGTGGCCACCAATTTGGATGATTCGTTCCTAGATCAAGTCAATGAATTGTGATGTGAATTCAATGAATGACACCAGCGTGACCAAGATGAATAATAACATTGTCTTTCATTTTGCTTTAAAGTCGTATTTTATGAATTGTATGCTTTATTGTAGTCTATGTATGATTACGTACTTCATCCATGATAAATATGTGCTTCTCCTTTTGTGCGATGTAAATTTAATAGTTAACAATTGTTCATACAGGATAAGAACATCTCAATATTCGCATATTGTTGCAAAAAAATGGAAGTCATTAATGTAGTACCCCCATTTCTTATTGAATTTCTAGAAAAAACATATATAATGATTTTTAATAATTGTTTTTGGATTTTGCTTAAGGAAAAATCCAATCAATTCGGCTGATTCTTGATCCAAACCTCTGATTCACATATCCAGATCGGGTTTGGGGTGCCCGATCCGGGGCATCGATCCGTGTTTTAAACCCCTGATATAATGTAATATAATATAATTTATATATTAAACACATTATTTAACAAAAAACATACTAAAAGTTTAAGTTCCTAACCCCCCCCCCCGAACTTAAACTCTCCTCTATTAAAAGAGAAAGAGAAGGTTTGTTGAAAGCTACCATTCGTTTTTTTGAGTTCTCGCGTTGCCAAACACGAAACTTCTCAGAAATAGGAATGTTTTCTTTCTGAAAGAAATCTTTCAGGAAATCAAAGATGCCGTAAAAGAACACTAGTTTTTGAGAAAGTTTTTTGTGAAAGTTGTTTCGGCTGATTCTCTGATTTGACACATCGATCCACCAATCCAACACAGCTTTTGGGTTGGACGATCTAGGTCACCAATCCATTTTTTTAAACCTTTTATTACACTAAATATTACCATAAAGATTAAAGTGGTAGTAGAGTGGTTATTGTGGGCCTTTTTGTTGAATGGGTTGGGGATCCATCCCCTCATTGTTACCTTTTTATGTACCCTTTCAAATTAATTAGATATAATTAACTAGATATGTGCATATATTAGTAATTTCTAATAATTTTGAATAATTATTAATTTTTTTATTAACTAAAGCACCTTTATTTGAAAGTTCCATTTTTGAGCCCCTTTATAAAGAAAAATCCATTAATTTGAGAAACCCCTTATTGATTTTACTAATTGATTTTGACCTCCTTTTAAAGAAATATTC